ATAAAGGCAGAACAAGACACTGACACACATACACACTCATCTGGCATTTGGGCAATGAGGCGGATAAAAGCTAATTAGCCAAGCAGCCTTCTTAAACAAGCCTCAATTAAATGAGCTGTCCAGACAGACGCTGCTTCAGCCGGACCAGCGCCTGATTTGTGTAGCCTGTCTGTTCTCTGGCACGAGCCGCTGCTGCTTCTTCTGGCCCCGTCCCAATTTGACTGGAGAGCTCTATAATCCACCCGTGCACAGTTACACAAAGACCGGCCACTTCTTCAGCACAAATGTCAATTGAATTGCAGTTTGGTGCAAGTGTTCAGCATGAGGCTGTTGATTAGTTCTACTGGCTTTAACAATAGAGGTATGTTGGGTTTAAACGCTGGAGTCTGACAGGCTTTATGGTCAGGAAGTAATGAGATAATGAAGCACAGGTGCACGATAATGAGATTTAAAGAGTGAGAAAAGCTATTGCAAAACCTAAAAGTGCTTAAATATAGGCTCTTGCAGTGTGAATTTGAATTGCCCTTTACAATTGTAGCTTGTTAGACTATATGGAGACAGTCGCTATTAGGGATGCTCATAATAACCGATTAACTGATAACCAAAAAGGTGCATTTCGACTACAGATAATCGATTAATAGTATTAGTTAAATGATTAAAAACTATTATTGTATATTTTTTTAATGTTTGGCTGCATAAGGGCCTGATCACTGTGTGCTCTTTGAGTTGAAAGGGGCATCTTTTGAATGGTTTACCAATGACCACGAGCGTTTTGTGGCGCCCTGCGTGCCTCACGTTTTTGCCGTTGCACACTGTACGCTTGTAGTTGAAAAAAGTAAACTCTGAGCAGAAAAAGTGTTTCACATCAGTCGCATTTCTTTAATCAAATGAAAGTAGAGGTGTGGTTACTGTTGATTAAATGCATATTTTACGTGGAGCAATCAGTCTGAGGTAGCATAGAATAGTCTATAAGTATGCGATTTGGGATGCACCTTGTATGACACTCAATGGCAACAACAGTCAATATGTCGTCCAGTTTTGTAACCAATCAAAATAAAAGTCTATGAAAGTAATACTAAATTTATTAGTATTGTTTTTACACTATAGGTTTAATTTTAGGCTTACTGTAATCTTACAAGATTTTCAAAATGTCTTTGTGTAGTTTTGTTTAATTTAAATAAAAATGTAGTTTTTATGTAAAGATCATTTATTAATCAGTGCAACGTGATGGTGCAGTGGGTAGCAATGTCACTTCAGAGCAAGAAGGTCACTGGTTCGAGCCTCGACTGGTTCAGTTGGCGTTTCTGTGTGGAGTTTGCATGTTCTCCCTGTGTTCGTGTGGGTTTTCTCTGGGTGCTCTGGTTTCCCCACAAGTCCAAAGACATGTGGTATAGGTGAATTGGGTAAGTCCGTAGTGCATGTGTTTGAATGAGAGTGCATGGGTGTTTCCCTGTGATGGGTTGCAGATGAAAGGGCATCCGCTGTGTAAAACTTATGCTAAATAAGTTGGCAATTAATTCCTTTGTGGTAACCCCAGATTAAAAGGGACTTAAAAAGAAAATGAATTAATAATTTATAAATCTGTCTGTCTGTTTGTCTGTATATAGTGCATTTTACTGAATATTTTAAATATTAACTGTTTTATAAAGTTTGATTCTTATGAAAAAAAAAAAAAAAAATATATATATATATATATATATATATATATATATATATATATATATATATATATATATATATATATATATATATATATTATATATATATAATTGAATGGACATTTTCTATAACATCTGCATGTTTCATAATATTGTGGTTCGTTAAAAAAATAAAATAAAAAGTTAGTGTTTCAGTAGATCTGAAATTCAATTGAACCTTACACCTGGTTTTAAATATTTTCTTACACAATATATATTTTTTATTTAATACGTCAGAAGATATTGAACTAAGTTGGGCCATAAATTTGCACTTTATTTACCCTTGATTATGAGGGAGGGTGTATCCGTATAATGACCACTTCAGGATTGGCAAATATCCTTTCTGTATGATATGATTATAGTACATCTAACACAAACATCACAAAGCATCATTCAAATAACAGATCTGTGTCATTATGAAAGAATGAACATAAAGTTAAGGGAATGTGTTGGTGAATTATTAGCACGATGATGATGAAAAACAAAGAGAGCTGGTGTGAAAGAGATAAAAGCCAGGGGGTGTATTTCAGAGGTTTTGTGAAAATAATTTTGAAGCAGGTGTGCAGACTGGACAATCACCGCCTGTGTTCCTTTATCTGGAAGCAAACACTCCCTCCAGTTGCTCTCCTCACAAGGTCACTGGCGGGCACCTCTTTTCCTCACTGAAGATCTCAGGCATTGTCCTGTGTCTCTGAATGCCTATAAGTCTAAAGTTGCCCCTTATCTGCCCTCTGCTGACCTTCGACGTCCCCTCCGGCTCCTCAGAGCTTGCAAGAACAATGACTTGTCAAAGTCAATTAGGCCTTGATTGATTTCTTCTCACTGCGTGTTTGACTGATTCACTTGCTCACTTTTTCTCCCACTGAATGATGTAATTGGGATGGAATTGGATGGAATGAGGCGTACTCAGGTTTTTGTGAAGGGGGAAAAGGGAAGGTCAGTGAATAACCTTGGAATATGCCTTTTCTAAATGGCGCCATTGTGATCTATAATACTGGTTCTTGTGGGTCAAGAGTGAGCACAGGTATTTTGGGGGAAAACACACACATATACAGTATTATCATTTTATTATGCTTTTTTGGGGTGTGGAATACAGTATAGCTGTTTGCAGATGTAAAATTATCTAGTTTCAAAGATCAAAGTGCAGGATAAATGATTTATTGTTTGCCAAAAGGAAGAAGTGATTCTGCCTGAAGTGATTCGTCAATAATTCCAGTCCAGATTTATGATCATTTGCATAAAGACACTTGATTAACAAATAAGGTCTTTGACCCTCAAACGCTAGTTGTAGATAAATGGGATGGAATGTACATTTATAGCGCATTTTATTGTGTATTGTCACACTCAAAGCGCTATACAATCATATGAGGGGTCTCTCCTCACTAGCAACGGTGTGCAGCATTCATCTAATGAGATCTGGAGTAGTTTAGTTTGGTAAAAAATACTTTACTTGAACTTCTGAAAAATGAAAACTCAAATGTATCCAATAAAGCAAGTGCTTTACATGTGCTGAGGAAGCTTCAGGTGCAGAAATGACAGATAGAGTATGGTAATAAGAGACTGAATTCTGAATCATGCCACAAGCAGAACATTTACAAGAGACTGTGGCCTTCAGACCAATCAAGGTAAAGTAGGCTCTCTAAAAGGCAAGTTTAGAGAGGCCAGATAATTGAATAACCCATTTCAGATGTTGTAGAAATCTTTAAAATATAAACATGTTTTCTCTGTGTTTACGTGGGTTTCTTCCGGGTGCTCTGGCTTCCCCCACAGTCCAAACACATGCACTATAGGCGATTTGGGTAGAATAAATTAAGCTAAATTGTCCGTAGAGTAAGTGTGTGAATGAGTGCGCAAGGATGTTTTCCAGTGATGGGTTGCAGCTGGAAGGCATCCGCTGCGTAAGACATATGCTGGATAAGTTGGCACTTCGTTCCGCTGTGGCGACCCCAGAGTAATAAAGGGACTAAGCTGAAAAGAAAATGAATGTTTTATAGAACTACCATAATTATGAGATTCTGTTTAAAATTATTCATTGATGAATTTTACAGAGATTTCGAAATCTCTTACTTTACCATTGTGACGTCATCTAAAAACATCCAAAATAGCAGCTTCTACAAGTCGTATCATAAAGAAAGCATAAAAATAAACTAGTTAGTAAAATAACTTGGTGAACAAAAAATGGTTTATTTTAGGTAAGTTCTGCGTTAGTTCAATGAATAAAATAATTAGTCTAATAAAAAATAATAATATAGATTTTATGTTCAATTAAATTCTACTGAAAAACAATTGTAATTTCTACATTAATACTTCCATTCAGGCTGGAATAAAACAAAAAGTGAGTAAAATGACTTACAAGTCGAATGTTGCGAACTAAGCTACAAACGACTCAGTAAAAATTACCCAACAATTTCACTTTTATGCAACTTAATCAAATTTGACTTTCATACATAAAATTTACTTTAAAAAGCATCAGAGCAAAAACTTGCCAAACAAAATTGATAAATTTCACTTACTGTTTACTTTTGTGGCATCACAACAATTCGTAACTTTTTCATTTAGTGGCTAATTCGTATGAATTCGTATGATCTAATTCGTACAATTTAGTACGATTTGCTTATCCCCCAATGACGGTTGGGGTTAGGGGTGGGGTCAGGTGCCACGCCTCCTTTTTAAAATCGTACCATTTCGTACGACTGAACTCGTACAAATTCGTACGAATTAGCCACTAAACTGGCAAAACGTAAAATACTTACGTTTTCTCGTGAGATCAGGCTGGGCATCACGGTGGCGCTACAGGTAGCATGATCGTCTCACAGCAAGAAGGTCGCTGGTTCAAGCCCCAGCTGGGTTAGTTAGCATTTCTGTGTAGAGTTTGCATGTTCTCCCCGTGTTGGCGTGGGTTTCCTCCGGGTGCTCCGGTTTCTTCCACAGTCCAAAAAATTGCTATAGGTGAACTGAATCAAACTAAAACTTGTCATAGTGTAAAAGTGTGAATGCAGGAGTGTATGGATGTTTCCCAGTGTTGAGTTGCAGCTGGAAGGGCATCCTCTGCATAAAACATATGCTGGATAGGTTGGCAGTTCAATCCGCTGCATCGACCCCTGATTAATAAAGGGACTAAGCTGAAAAGAAAATGAATGAATGTTTTCTTCTGTTTTCAGTATAGTGTGATATTTACTATTTTTATATATATTTTTATTGTCCTTCATTTGTGTACATGCTTTTACAATTATAATATGTCTTCATGCATTGTATATTATGTTTCAAGTGCCATTTTTTTATATGCTTTTGTGTATTTTCCAGACACAGAATGCAGAAGGAGTTCTTGTTCCTCTGAAACATCAGCTGCTCCGGGTCATTGTGCGTATTCTTCAATACCGCATGCTGCTTACAGGTGAGTACTGGCTCATCATTTTTCCTGATTTTTTTTGTGGTAATTGTGGTTTGCTTTCATTGTGCAATTCAGTTTTCTTGTCCTTAAAGAAAAACCAAATGACCATCATATGAGCTTTAAATCATACTAAATCACACATGCAACTATATGGATAATGCTAAAGTTAAAGTTAAAACATTTTTTAAATAATTTAAAGCTGAAATAAAATAAAATGTATGTTTTATTTGAAAATCCTAAACAATCTAAGTGAATAAATAAATAAAATTAAATAATACAAAAATCTGAAAATATATCAACTGAAATAATGTTTTGCTGAAAAAGTATGAAAAATAAAGCTAAAAAGCGAATATGCATTACAAAGGATCTATACATTTAGTAAAAACTAAAAATGAAGTATAAAATAAAAATGTGTTCAGAAAAATTAAATTTATGTGATAGAACAGAAATTATGGTTAAAATATAACAGATGAAATGACTTAATATTCATGAATGATGGAAATGTAAACATGTCTACTATACTGTATATACTGTAAAGATACTGGACAGGGGTTCGTTTATAACATATTTATCAAACTCGATCAAAATGCACAGAAAATGCAATAACTAAATAATAAAACTTTTTTTTACACATTTTATGATTAAACTTAATGTTGTGGTTTGAAACAGCCGTTTTCGCTGCTGACTCATCAGATCTGCTGTCAGTATTTCACTCATGAGTAATATCTCATTTCATAACCGTTGATGATTACAATCTACCATGACGGAAGTTTAATGTGAAAAACAAACAGTAAATAATGGCTTTATTCTTCATTGACATATCAAATAAGTCGTCCTTTTGTGTATGCCATACGTAAGTGACCAAAATGTTACTACAAATGACAGAGAAGTCAGTAAAGCCCCTAATATGTCAAACTAAAAAAAAAAAGTGTGCATGAAACATGCTGTTCTCATTTCGACCTTCAGGTTGTTTGTACTTTGTGTGGGATCTTGTTCAGAAAACATAAGACAATGATTCCATTTAATCAGTTTATTAATCTAATTTCTTCCAGACTACTTGAACAACCTCTCCCCTGATTCGAAAGAGTATGAAGACACACAAGGTCTGTCCTATTTTCTTCTTTTTACACAGCGTTGAACTCTGAGCATGCTTGAACTAGGAAAACACTAATTGTGCTTATGACTGCAAAAAATATTTTTATCGACAGCTGCGCTGGTAATCGTGTCAGAGGTCGCAGACCAGGTTAATGACAATCTAAAACACGGGGTGAGTGGTTTCTCTGTGTGTGTGAGAACATGCTGTATTGTTGATGAAAACAGGGAAATGATGTCATAGTGTCCCAGGTGTCCAGAAACAAAGATAGCAGTGAGAAATCAGCACACACGCACAAAGTCACACACAGACGCAGAGTCCTTGTGTTATATACTATTATAGTTTCCTTTTTTATTATTAATGTATGATAAATAAACACTTTCATCTTCTACATATACAGTTGAAGTCGGAATTAACAGCCCTCCTCCTTAATTAAGCCCCCCCCCCCCCCTTTATAGTTTTCCCCCTAATTTCTGCTTTATGGAAAGAAGGCCATAATTAGAAATAGTTAATTTCTAATAACTTATTTCTGTTATCTTTGCCATGCTGATAATAAATAATATTTTACTAGATATTTTTCATGATACTACCTTTTACTCTTCAGCTTAGAGAGCAATTTAAAGGTTTAACTAGGTTAATTAGGCAAGTTACAGTAATTAGGCAAATCATTGTTTAATGATGGTTTGTTCTGTAAACAATCAAAAAGCATTGCTTGAGAGGGCTAATAATATCTACATTAAAATGTTTTTAAAAAAAACTTTAACACTGCTTTTATTCTAGCCGAAATAAAACAAATAAAACTTTCTCAAGGAGAAAAAATATAGGAAATACTATGAAAAATTCTGCACACTGTTAAACAGGAGGGCTAATATTTTTTTTTTAGCCACTGTATTCCACTTTTTAAATTCTCTTTATCTCTTGTTATTGCAGGAGAACCTGCTTCGTTTGGTCCACATCGACTACAGTGTAAGAGGAAAAAGAGACCTCCTTCAACCTGGAAGGGTAAATTTAGCTTCATATGCTGTATGTTTATGTTTTACTTCTGTTTTTACTGGCTTTAAAACCGGAAAGATCAGTGACTGTTATTAGACATAAGGTTTAAGTGGAGCCATATAACTCACCTGGCCTCTGGAATCTGTGTGTTTTGCAGGTATTTGTTAAGGAGGGAACCCTGATGAAGGTCTCTCGTAAAAGCAGGCAGCCCAGACATCTCTTCCTGGTATCTTGTCATGCTTCTATAATTTTAAAAGTGCACTTAAAGTCCATGTGAACCTGAAGTTGCTTCAGACCTTTATTTCAGTTTGATGACGTATTTCCAACTGACATTAAATTTTGAGTAAGGGGTGGGGGTTATTGTAAACCTCCTCCATCTTTTACTTGCAGCAAACTAATAGTAGAAGGGCTGTGACTAACCATGTTTTACAGTCAAACTGATGTCATCAGAGAAGGGCTGCCATTCCAAAGTGGAACCAAGGGTTATATATTGATTCAAGATTACCAAAACAAAGTGGTTAAATTTGCAGGGATATATTGTTAACCTAAAGATTAATAATGTGCGCTAGCAAAATAAACACAGCAAATTTGGATTCCATGTAGACTTTAAATGCACTGAATGGTCATTTGTTGAAAAGCTAAATGATTACCTGTTAATTGATTGTGATCTGCATTCAGACACCTTCATGATCAAGAGTGCTAGCAGCTTTTTATAATTTATAGTTTAATAATTTGTCATTTTTTAAAGAAAGTTTTATTTGTTTGGGCCGTTTTTGCCATTCTGTACATTTTTACTATAATGTACATCTTTTTCACTAGTGTTTATTTACATCCTCTCGAATGGGTGGATCGACTACTGTTTGGAACTTATCTAATTAGTTTGTGTCCTCTGTAAATAAATATATTGATTAAGCAATTTGAGTAGTGATAGCATTCAAACTCTCTCATTGGGCAAGTAGGCATACTGACAGTTAACTTTAACTGAAGTTAGAATAAACATTGCCTTTGTCAGTTTTTTTTTATTTAAACCTAAATACTGTGATGATTGCAGATCAGCAATCTGTAAGCAATCTTGATTGGCAAATTAGTTAAAGTTAGTCGACTTGGTTAGGTATAACTTGGCTAATAGATATAAATGTCTATCACTAATATTTGCTTATTCCAAACCAACTAGTCATTTTCCTAGAGCGCAAGTGAGTTGTTATATAAGTTGAAAGTGTTCACTACACACTGCAGGCTGCATAGTTATACACACTCCTATGAGTTTGCTTGTTTTCGAGGGTCTACTTCCTGTCAGGATGTCTGCTATAGGTCACTGGATACCAGCTTCCTGTGCTGGGACTATACTGATGGCAAAACTGAAAAGTTTGAAAACTAGACTCAAAGAACAACAGATCAACAACAAAGAGCTGATAAATAACACTCAAAACATCAGACTGAGCCCTCACTTCAGCTGTTTACTTGTGTTTAGTCACATCCACACTTCCAGTTTAGTGGTAATCTGAATGGGATTTTTTAAAAGAGGGGTCTGATTTGATGTAAGGTCTAGGTATGGCTGAGATTTGGTGTGATGCTTTAGAAAGTGTGTATTTGCATATATATATATATATATATATATATATATATATATTTATATATATATATATATATATATATATATATATAAATATATATATATAGCAGTCATTTTTTAATACTGCTGCAAAAGATTATGGGTGATTTCAAAAGTATTAGGTGACACTGAGGTTTGAAGATTGAAAAACACATTAAACACATTGCCCTTGTTATATCTTAAATCAAATGCTTCCTTGGCAAAAAAACTGCAATAAAATAAGATGAATTATTCAATAAGTAAAACTGGAGCTAAAATAAACTTAATATATTCAATGAACAATTTAACCTCATTGGCTTAAAAGTATCTGTGATGTAATCAAATATATACCTGACAAAAGGCTTGTCGATGATCCCATTTGTAAGAGCAAAAAATAATAACTTGACTTCTAGTTGATTATTTGGAAAAGTGTCAGAAGGTAGATTTTTCTGATGAATGATCTGTTGTACTGCATCCCAATCGTCACAAATACTGCAGAAGACCTACTGGAACCCACATGGACCCAAGATTCTCAAAGAAATCAGTCAAATTTGGTGAAGGAAAAATTACTGTTACATTCAGTATGGGCACATGCGAGAGATCTGCAGAATTTATGGCAACATCAACAACCACATTACAAACCACATAAGAGGGCAAATTCTTCAGCAGGATAGCACTCCTTCTCATACTTCTGTCTCCACATCAAAGTTCCTGAAAGCAAAGAAAGTCAAGGTGCTCCTGGAAGGGCCAGCTCAGTCACCAAACATAAACATTATTGAGCATGTCTGGGGTAAGATGAAGGAGGAGGCATTGAAGATGAATCCAAAGAATATTGATAAACTCTAGAAGTCCTGCAAAAATGCTTTATTTGCCATTCCATATGACTTTATTAATAAGTTATTTGAGTCATTGCAGAGATGTTTGGATGCAGTCCTCCAAGCTCATGGGAGTCAAACACAATATTAATTCCACTGTATACTTTTTTTATACTGTACATCATTTCTGTTAAGTGACAAGACTTTAGTCAATGCAAAGTCAGACCTCACTGTCCTGACTAAATAATTAAAAACCACGGCATGATCATATCTTATATTTATCTAAAAAAGCGTAATCTAGAGGCCTTTGTCTTTCATATAAGCCCCCTCTGATACCAAATTGTCAACTACAAGTCAAGTTATTTGTTGTTCCTAAAACTTGGATAGGCGGCAATATATAAAGTATATAAAGTAATGTATATTAACCTCAAAAAATGTAAATAATAAAACAAGTAAATATAAACTATTTTATTTGTACACATTGGGATATTTTCCTTGCGTCCGCGATCTGACTTATGCTTATACAGTAGATTGAAAGCATGTAATGTGCAGCATTAAAAATAACTGAATTGCATTGGCAACTTGGGTAACCATACTTATACCAGATATATACACACACAAATATACAGCGAGCTGTTCTACAGCCGTAGCAGTCTTACCTCTGGAGACTCTAGATATTGAGGGGCTTTTCTTCATTTCTCCTGCTGCCCTTCTCTCTTCTACTCTCCCTGAATTGATCAAACTCTGACTGATGCTGTTTTATGAAAGCCTGTGACTGATGCCATGGAGTCCAGCACTGACTGGGTATAATATAATGATGTCAGAGGGTCCCCTGGTAACGATGAGTCCTGGAGATCCAGATTTAATTTATAGAGTAATAAGTGAATCGGCTCAAAAATCCTTACAACCAGCCATCACTCACACACTGATGCCCGAAAGCGATTTCTTCAGTCAAACCCACCCGTCACTGCCTGAACTGATCCTCTGCTTTACAACAGTCACAGCAAGAAGGTCGCTGGTTCGAGCCTCGGCTGGGTCAGTTGACATTCCTGTGTGGAGTTTAAATGTTCTCCCCCTGTTGTTGTGGGTTTCCTCCGAGTGCTCCGGTTTCCCCCACAGTCCAAAGACATGTGGTATAGGTGAATTGGGTAAGTTAGAATTGTCCGTAGTGTATGGGTGTTCCCCAGTGATGGGTTGCAGCTGGAAAATCATCCTCTGCGTAAAACATATTCTGGATAAATTGGCATTTCATTCCGCTCTGGCGACCCCTTATTATTAATGTGACTAAGCCAAAAAGAAAATAAGTGAATGAATGAATGAACTATTATGTTTAGAAAAAATCCTTCCATTTTCAAAAATTATTTTTATTAAACAAAAATTGGGTGAAAAAATATATAGGAGGGCTAATAATTCTGACTTAAACTGTATATATAAATACATTTTTCAGAATGTTGTTAACCTAAAGGTTGACAGCAGCCACTGACAATGTCTACTGTCAGATATGTTGTCATTTGAGTGAGCAAATGCTGAGCAAATGTTTAAACGTTGAGGGTGAACTGTCTCTTTAAGTTGTTTGTTGGTCCAGTCTCACTCTAGCATTTTAGTTAAGGACTGTTTCGTTGTGTCCAGCATGCACTCAGCCGTCTGATGGTTGTTGTGGCTGTTAGTGTTGATGTTTTTGTTGTCTCTGTCCTGCCGTCTCCACCCAAAAAGCCTTTCTCAGAAACATCGGCACTCAATTCCTGGACACGGCCTGTGAACTGCGGATGTTTGGGGCACAAATGTTACACGTCTGATGATGTCACCACTTTTGTTTGGAGCTATATATATGAGGAGCGAACACAATGGTTTGAAGTGAAGGGCTTGCCTGTTTGTGGGCGTCAGTTTGTGTTCCTTGCACAGAAAATATGCCATAAACTGTTTTTATCCAGCACGGGCTATTGTTTTTAACGTGTGAATTGCTTTTTGGAGTACTAAACTTGAACGTGCTGCACTTGTGGAAGAATGTGCATTGAGAAGGCAGGGAAAACATAGATCATGTGAAAACTATTTACAACAGCGCTTCTCAACTCAGGGATCTGGGGCCCACAGGATAGATTAAAATGCTTTAAAATAAGCGACAACAAGCTCTGAAATCAGCTCAGCAACATCAAATAAAAATTCTGATATTTCATATTTTAATTATGCATTGTATTTAAGTATTTAATTAACAATTTGTGAATTATTTTATTTATTTTGACCACTTTATTAAAAAAATGTGTACTTTTGCTAACTTTAAACTTTTACTGCCCTCTTCTGGTGAATGTAAACATAACATCATCATTATCCTTCATTTTACTCATGTTTATGGGTATTATAATAATACTGATACTAATTATTGATGTAACTAAATACTTAAAATCTGTATTATTGCCCAAGTTAATTGTATTGTTTTTTTGTAAAAAAAAAAAAAAAAAACTGTTGAAGTACACAATCATAACTATTACTTTCATTTATTTTGATCTCTTATAATGCTTTCACAATCTATATGCAATTTTTCACTTACTGGGTAATGATTTATATTTATTGTAAAAATGTAATATTTTTCAAATAAACCATAATGTACACTCACCAGCCCTTTTATTAGGTACACATTACTAGTACTAGGTTGGACCCCCTTTTGCCTTCAAAACTTCCTTGATACATCATGGCATAGATTCAGCAAAGTACTGGAAATATTCCTCAGACATTTTGGTCCATATTGACATGATAGCATCACAGTTGCTGCTGATTTGTAGGCTGTACATCCATGATGCAAATCTCCTGTTCCACCACATCCCAAAGGTGCTCTATTGGATTGAGGTCTGGTGACTGTTGAGGCCATTTGTGAACAGTGAACTCATTGTGATGTTCAAGAAACCATTCTGAGATGATTTGTGCTTTATGACATGGTGTGTTATCCTGGGTTATCATCGGTTACACTGGTCAAAAAGAGATTGACATGGTCAACAATATTACTCAGGTAGGCTGTGGCATTGACGCGATGCTCAATTGTTGTTGTTTTTTTTTGTTTTTTATGGGCCCAAAGTGTGTCAAGAAAATATCCCCCACACCATTACACCACCACCCCCAGCCTGACGCCAATTCTGACCCTACCATCAGAATGTCGCTGCAGAAATTGAGATTCATCGGACCAGGCAACGTTTTTTTCAATCTTCTATTGCCCAATTTTGGTGAGCCTGTGCGAAATGTAGCCTCAGTTTTCTGTTCTTAGCTGACAGGAGTGGCACCTGGTGTGGTCTTTTGCTGCCCATCCTCAAGGTTGGATGTGTTGTGCGTTTAGAGATGCTCTTCTGCATATCTGTTGTAACGAGTGGTTATCTGATTTACTGTTGCCTTTCTATCAACTCGAACCTGTCTGGGCATTCAGTTCTGACCTCTGGCATCAACAAGGCATTTGTGCCCACAGAACTCCCGCATACTGGATATTTTCTCTTCTTCTGATCATTCTCTGTAAACCCTAGAGATGGTTGTGCATGTAAATCTTAGTAAAACAGCAGTTTCTGAAATACTCAGACCAGCTCGTCTGGCACCAACAACCATGCCATTTTCAAAATCACTTAAATCACCTTTCTTCCCCATTCTGATGCTCTGTTTGAACTGCAGCAGATCGTCTTGACCATGCCTACATGCCTAAATGCATTGAGTTGCTGTCATGTGATTGACTGATTAGAAATTTGAATTAACAAGCAGTTGGACACTTGTACCTAATAAAGTGGCCGGTGAGTGTACGTAATCCGTAATGTTGTATTAAGTTGTAAGTGAGAATGTTTCCATGTTTTTACTTAAAATCCATAAAGAAATTAAATGACATTTACAATTGCGCAGGAACCACATCAATAAAAATTGGTGAACTGTTCAAAAAAGTTTTTAATAATTGTCTTAAGACAAGAATGGCAGCTCTTCAGTAGTTTAAATACATAGTAAATCTTTTCAATATCAATTAGAAATCAGATTTAATGTAACATTAAATTGATTAAATAGGAATATATTATCAAAAAAAGTCCTGTGTGTGGATTCCCAATTTGTATATAGTAAAATAAACTTGTTTGTGTGACTGTGTGTGTGTGTGTTGCAGATGAATGATGTGATGCTGTACACCTACCCTCAGCAGGACGGCAAATACAGACTGAAGAACACACTCACTTTAAGTGGAATGAAAGTAAGACATCTCTTCTTCTTTTTTTATGTTAGCTAACAAGAAAACAAACACTTTGGTTGACACTAAAAACTGCGTTATCAAGCAATGTAACACAAACATGCATTTCCCTGTGTCTAGGTCAGTAAACCCATCATAGACAATGTGCTGAACACACTCAGAATAGAAGTCAGCGACGTCACCATCACACTCTCAGCCAGGTAATCAACATTTCCAAAATGGTTTGCACACATCTGTATTGTCATTCACTGTCATAGTCACGTTTACGGCTTCTTTCTGTGCACGTCAGCTCTTTAGGAGAAAGAGAAGACTGGTTTCACACACTGAGTCGGGCTATCGCTGATCACGCCGCAGGCCTCAATACCTTCAGCAGCTCCAGCGAGGTGTGAGGAAATCATCATATCTTTATCCATTAGTACTCATTATTAAGAAGGAATAGTATGGCATTCTGCATCCCTGTGCATGTTTGCAGGCCAGAGAGAAGCTGTGGATGTCATTGGGAGAAGCTGCTCCTGTTCTGGTTCCTGTGTCTCATGTGATGATGTGCATGAACTGCACGTCTGACTTCAGTCTAACACTGCGACGGCATCACTGTAATGCATGCGGAAAGGTGAACATTTTTTACACAGAGTACATTTGGGTTCACAGATTTGATGTCCATTTGCTTATTTTCACTTCATCCAAGATTTTTGTTTTTGGTAAAACACTAAAGATTTTTATGCAGAACTGTGGAGCTTGGTTGTTTAAAAAACTAAAAACTATGGAGACTGTCACTTTGAGAGTCAAAAAATACAGTCACAGTTTAAATGAAGTGAGTTTTAAAGATGCAATAGGAGACTTTGGGAAATGCCCATAGCCCTGCAAGTCAGCATTCAATGACATGCCTCCTGGACACATGAACGAGCAAGCACTAGACAGCATGACTTGCGAAACCAAACCTAAAAAAGAAAGTAAGTTGGTAATAAATTTTTTTTGTCTGAACCATGCACCGATGACATAATACTTTCTGCACAATCAGGATGTGGAGAGGTATGTAATTATATATTTTGATGGCAGGCGAAAGGTAGGACAGCCTATTGTAATGTTTTGACCGATTGTTTTAATTGAACAAACTTTTCTTGGTCTTACACCTTCCAAAGAGTATTAAAATACCTATAAATACACATGGACCACTTAATTTATTGGTTGATATCAGGATGTGAAGAGACTTTCAACCAGCATAACAATATTTATTTCTGAAAACACTCACCCAATGCACCTTTAATTACTTATGTGGTGCCATGTAGGATTTAAGTCAAATTTTGCTTATTAACACAAAAAAAAACTTACATATACACCTATGAGTTACTCGCATATACAATTGGATGTTCAAAAAAAAAATATATATATATATATATTCTTGCGTATATAAATATAAACTTGATGCATGCATGCAGCGAGTTCAAATGTATGTGCGTCTTTTGTTGTTGGTTTATATGCACGGATCGAGTTTTTATATATATGTGCAAGTGTATGTGTGTGTATGCATGCATCAAATTTACATGTATATTCACAAGTCTCATATATATTATTTTAAATATCCAATAGTATAGGTGTATATGAAAGTAATTTATAGGCGGCTATGCAGATCTTTTATGTATGTGTTGATTAGCAAAGTTTGATTCACGCATGGCGCCTCATATGAACTTGAACATTCAAATTAATCATTTGGTTTACTTCACTTATTATGTACATACATGTTTTATATTGCACTAGTATTAAATTTATCTGCATGTAATTACAGAATTATTATTATAATTATTATTAGTGGCCACCAGCTAGTCAGCAGATATCTGGTATTTTGAAATGATCAGCTTTGGCTGTTAGCAGCATCCAGCTTGTCAGTGAACTGAAGATTCAGCTCCCCCTTGTGTTGGGAAAGGGTTTCGTTCATTTAATTTCAGGAAATTTGTGTGTACTGTAGTTAATTTTCTACTTTCAATTATTTTACACACTACAATTGAAAACTATTCGTCTTTTTTTTTTTTTTAAGGTTTATTATTTTGTGGAAATTATGCTATGTCTTTAGATTTCTGAAAAGAATGTTTAAGAAGTTAAAACGTACAGCATTTAAATGAAATTATTTTGAAATGTCCCTATTTTTCTGCAGTGTTACATTAAATTGAATTTTTCATGTCTTCAAATCATCAAACAAATGTTTGAGAAATTTAAGTTTAAAGTGTTTTAAAACATTGCATAAGCATTAACCAAACATTCAAGAATCTTCTTTTGCCATTCATTTTTGTTGTTGATGTGAGTTGTGTTGCTCTGATTTCTAGGTTGTGTGTCGCTCCTGCTCAAGGAACAGGTATCCTCTAAAGTACCTGAAGGACAGGATGGCTAAAGTCTGTGACCACTGCTATGCTGAGCTCAGAAAGAGAGGTAAAAGAGGACTGCAATGATATGCATACTTTAAATACAATAGTATGCAATTCAAGTTTGGGGAAAAGTACAGAAACTGTGTCATCTAAAAAATTTTGATTTGATGGTGATCAGTGATATTTTTATTTTTAACATTTAAAGCAAGACACTGCAGGTCAATTAGGTAACAAATTAATTAAACTGTGGACTGATTACATTAAGAATTAGCACAACAAGTCAAGCTCAAAAATGTACACATTCTCACTCATTCACTTTGAAGTCTCACTCACTTTGGCTTAGTCCCTGATTTATCAGGGGTCACTGCAGTGGAATGAATCGCCAATTATTTGGCTTTTTTTTTTTTTTTTGAGGTGGATGCCCTTCCAGCCACAACCCAACACTAACTCGTGAATTTCAGTTCTGTGAAAATTTATAAATTAACACATCGAATATTTTTGCATCACTAACGATTTGGAGAATCCATTTTTGTCGCTCCACAATTAAAAAAATACTACAGACAAGCATAAAAACAATAAATTTGAACAATTTTGGTAGAATAAAATATATATAATCAAGACAATCATGTATAAGCATACTGCTATGTAAAAACCTGCTGAAGTGGAGATTTATGACTGCCTTTAAAAAAATTGTAATTGAAATCTACAAACAAACTGACAAAGTGCAGCAAAATAAACTTGAAAGTTTCATTTGGGTGTTTTCTTTCGTTTTGGATGATTAAACTTAAGCCCAAAATCTCAAAATTGACAGGTGCGTATAAAAGTGTTTTGCCTGCAGTGTCTTGCCTTAAAGGGTTAGTTCATTACAAATGAATTTTTCCTTGATAATTAATGAAAATGATCTCACGATTTACTCACCCTCATGGTTATTTTAAAAATGATCTTGGTCTTTTCAGCTATGCAACAGTCAGTTGATTTTTATTAGCAGTACAAAAAGAAATCCAATAAAGTTCATCCATCAGTAATTAAAGTACCTCAAGCAGCTCCAGAAGAAAAGGTCTCCATTAGTAGATCCATTCATTATGTGAGAAAATGTTTAATATAACCATTAACATTAAACCATTTCATGTAACCTCCGGTGAGTGCTGTCTTGTACTCCTCTTTTGAGGTGCATTTTTTGGTGCATTATTAACATTATTGGCTAAACAGGATTTCTCACTCTCTTTCTCTCTCTCTCTCTCTCTCCCATGAGTGTGACGTGCATATGCAGTCAATACAAACACAGAAACACAATGAGGATAGACAAATAAATTACATTTTGGTGTGATGTTCTTGATTTTATAAAAGATTATGTGCAGATTTTGAATTTACATACAAAAATGTTATCTTTGGTTTCTTAAGCTGGTTAGCTTATTTGTTTTGTTGGCCAAATTTCATATTCACAAAAGCAAGTTTTGTAAGTGTAAACCTTTTTTTTCTAAATTTAAAATTGAAATGAAAATGTATTTTGAGTCTATAGAGGGATCAACAAACATCAAAGCAATACGAACAAGGGCTCTGATGAAGGACTTGGCACTTATCTTGGACTAAATGACTGAGAACCCCTGGATTGTTTTTGTTTGATTGATGACATTTGCTATTAATGTTTTTCATGCATTCAATAAAAAATGTAAAAAGCAAAGACAAATAAAAGAGTCCTGTCCAGCTGATGGCGCTAATGCTTTAACAAATATGCACAAAAAAGGAGAAGAAGATAATGTGCTTGTTGAAAGTTACACCAAACGGTCTATAAACTTTTAAATATGTATATTGTTTAACAAAGATCTATGGATTCACTAAAGGAGACTTTTATTTACTCCTGGAGCTGCGTGGAGCACTTTATCATTACTGATAGATGCTTTCCTCCTGATAAATTTCTGCTGACAGTTGCTATTGTAGTGCTGGAAAAGCCCATGATCATTTTTATAAACCTCAGATTGAATACTACTCAAAGAAAGTGATATACACCTGATGTGTGCTGCTTTGTAGTTAATGTGAGTGTGTGATGTGCATGTAGGTGGTGATGTTCCTGGATCATGTGGGAGTGTGAGTCCACGCACACACAGGGCCAGCAGACCTCTCTCAGCTGTGTTTCAGAGCCTGCAGCCACCCAGCCTTTGGAGGAACAGGAAGAGCAGCTCGCCTCTCACACAGGTAAACATACACACATCCACACTCCTAGTCGCTTTCATTCACATCCGATTAATTTCCTGTCTATCTCGAAAACATGATTACACACCGCGTTAAAAAGCGTCTGTGTCCGCAGGTGTCTGTGGGTGCAGAGGGGTCCACTATGAGTGGCAGTTTGCAAAGACGCAAAAAAAGCAAAAGGAGGTGGAAGAGGCTGTGGTTCCTGCTCAAAGACAAGGTGCTCTACACCTTTAAAGCACGAGAGGTGAGGGGACCCAGAGTCTCCCACACCAGCTTTGACACACACACACACTCACACTCTACTGGAGACTGTTTTACATCAGCATTTTTTTAATAAATCAGCATCATTTGCAGTAAATAAACCACTTAAGGGAACTGATAAATGTACATAATTTGTATACATGACAAAAAACAAAACTTTCCGTAACGATCATTTAGGGTCAGTACATTGGCATAGCAAAAAATGTGGGGTTACTGAAGGGGGCCCCTGGTGAAATCAAGCTCAATGGGGGGAGGGGGGTGCCGGTCGCAGAACAAAACACAAGGAAACTGTATAAAAAATGTATATTTTTGGCTCTGACTATTTATTGATGTATTATTTACCAACCTCAGTTCTGATCTTACTAACCATACATTTAGCATAGGCTCATTCTGAAAACCTAGCCTTACTGTATATATGTTTCTGGAGATTACAAATTATGTAGGCAACAGTAGGTACGGCTGCGTTTTGGCATTTAAAGCAACGTGGTATGACGCTGTTCCTTTTTACACTTACCCGTGGATGATATTCCCACTGTTATCAGTTTGTCCAGTTAGCTCAACGTGTACATTGGTGGATTGAGATGCAGATAGGAGTTGACCATGACAACGGCTTACTACTCTGTCAATAAAATATTCTTGTTGTGAATATGCACAGAAAAATCTTTGGGATGTAAAATTACAGTGATTTTAAAGAAAACTACATTTAAAACACATTTTAGTGGTATACAGGAAATGGATTGCTTTCATGTTTTTGTTTTCATATTTTGGTTTCAGTATTTTACTAGTTATTTTCTCATAGAGTACACTACCTGACAAAAGGCTTGTCGTTGATCCAGTTGTAATAGCAACAAATAATAACTTGACTTCTAGTTGATTATTTGGAAAAGTGTCAGAAGGTAGATTTTTCAGATGAAACATCTGTTGAACTGCATCCCAATCATCACAAATACTGCAGAAGACCTATTGGAACCCAGATGGACCCAAGATTCTCTTAGAAATCAGTCAAGTTTGGTGAAGGAAAAATCAATGGTTTGGGGTTACATTCAGTATGGGGACATGCGAGAGATCTGCAGGGTGAATGGCAACACCAACAGCCTGAGGTATCAAGACATTTGTGCTGCTCATTACAAACCACAGGAGAGGGCAAATTCTTCAGCAGGATAGCTCCTCTCATACTCCAGCCTCCACATCCACAAGGTGCTCCAGGATTGGCCAGCCCAGTCACCAGACATGAACATTATTGATCATGTGTGGGGTAAGATGGAGCAGGCTTAATAAGTTATTTGAGTCATTACAGACATGTATAAATGCAGTCCTCCAAGCTCATGGTAGTCATACACAATATTAATGTTTTTTCCACTGCTTCATGACTTTATATTCTATACTGTACATCATTTCTGTTAACTGACAAGACTTTTGTCTAAGCAAAGTCAGACCTTCCTGTCCTAATTAAATAATTACAAATCAAGGCATGATCATATTTTATTTTGGTAAAATAAGCGTGATCTAGAGGCCTTTGCCTTTCTTTTGAGCCATTTCTGATACCAAATGATCAACTAGAAGTAAAGTTAGTATTTGTTATTTCTAAAACTTGGATAGGTGACAAGACTTTTGTCAGATAGTGTATGTATATGGAAATCAGATTTCATTTTATTACATCACACTGTCTGAACTGATAAACTGTACAGGTCTGGTACTAAAACAGCAAGGTTATGATACTTATCGTACCAGCATGTACATACTGTAGCACAATCCTTACACACATTTGACCTCTCTCTCACTCTTTCTCTCTCGCTCTCTCTCTCTTGTTCTCTCAAATGTCTGCGTCTGCAGGATAAAGTGGCATCTGAAAGTCTTTCACTGCAGGGTTTTACTGTGAAGCTGTCGGATCGATCAGAGGGTGAAGACACAGACAACGTCTTCCAGCTCTACCATAAAAAAACACTGTATTACACCTTCAGAGCGGACGACCAGCCCACTGCACGCAGGTAAAACACAAAACACTCCGCACTACCAAAATACATGCTTTAAAGCATCATACATTATTTAGGATTCTCCAGAAACATAATACAGAAATATATAATTTTGCAGGTGGGTAAACGCAATGGAAGAGGCCACAGTGTTATAGTATCCAGCGCTCTGTCCAGACGACTACAGAACTCTGCACAGAATCCCTAAACTCATTTGTGGGCTTCAATAAATGACTTCAGAGTCACCTGTGCCTGAGAAACCAGCGGAATCACACCATAAATACCTTTGTTTTTTTTTTATCTTTTTGGCTGCTGAATTAAATGACAATTACAAAAAAGGCATGTTTGTGCTGTTTCAGGACCAGTCCTACGCCTCGACTACTTCACCGACCAATTCAAAAAGTGCCAAATGTAAAAAACAGTGCAGTTCGGTGAAGCTCAGATGTTTCCAAACCACTCATCTGCATCTGATAAAGGAGAATGTTTGTTTTTTGTTCTGTTTTCAGAATCTCAGCAACCTTTCTATATGCAGATATAATTGAGAGCTGTCATTTTATATATTCATGTAAAATTAACAAATAAATGAAGTACAGTTCAGGTGAATAGGCTTGTTATAGACAATATATTGTTCATTTAAACATTTAGCGTGACATATTCTACCATCTCAGATACACAAAGTTCATGTTTTATGTACAAATGACATCATGTGATATGTATTTACATTTGGATTAGATGCAGAATTGTATAGCCTGACTGAAGCGAGCTGTACATTTTACAATTCTGTGTAATATATTTAATTTGCAACTAAGAAACGTTAAGATATTGCCATCATCTGCTGTTGTTCACTTTAAAAAATCTTTTCACACTTGGAAGTACTTTTAATTGATTCCCAAGATGACTCTGTACCCTTATAGAACATAACCGAACCAAACTAGCTGATTCGAATGTTATCACTGGATTGAATGGGCGTTATCAGTGATTATCAGCTGATAGATACGGGTGCAGAAGGCCCCTACTTGTAGGCTCAGAAAGCTGTTATCATCCATCCACATGGTTTATCAGCTATATTTCACATACGGCTGCGGCCAGAAGTTAACAAGAATTATTTATATTGTTTTTTAAATCTCGCATTAATTGTATTTTATTAACGTCTACCCCAACCCTAAACTCAACCGTCACAGTAATGTAAAAAAAAGATCTGGATCTGGGGTCTTCTATATTAGTATAGCTGTTTAGCCATGTGGATGGATTATAACAACCTTCTGAGCCTAACAGTAGGTGAAGAAGGCCCCTACTGGCCCATATCTATCAGCTGATAACCACTGATTACACCCATTCGATCGAGTGATAACATTCAAAGCGGGTGGCCAAACATGGCTGTACAGTAGAGCTGTGCTAACTTTTAGATCTCCAAATTAGAACAAAACGGACCACATATTTGAATATCATCCTATATACTAGAAGTCAGAATTATTAGCCCCCCTTTGAATTTCCGTCTTTTTTAAATATTTCCCAAATGATGTTTAACAGAGCAAAGAAGTTTTCACAGTATGTCTGATAATATTTTTCTTCTGGAGAAAGTCTTATTTGTTTTATTTCAGCTAGAATAAAAGCAGTCATTGAGTCAAGGTCAATATTATTAGCCCCTTTAAGCTATTTTTTTTTCAATAGTCTTACGAACAAACCATCGTTATACAATAACTTGCCTAATTACCCTAACCTGCCTAGTTAACCTGATTAACCTAGTTAAGCCTTTAAATGTCACTTTAAGCTGTGTAGAAGTGTCTTGAAAAAGATCTAGCAAAATATTATTTACAGTCATCATGGCAAAGATAAAATAAATCAGTTATTAGAAATGAGTTATTAAAACTATTATGTTTAGAAATGTGTTGAAGAAAACTTTCTCTCCTCTAAACAGAAATTGGGGAAAAAATAATAAACAGAGGGGATAATAATTCAGGGGGGCTAATAATTCTGACTTCAACTGTATATACAACCTATATATACAACATCTAACCATAAAATATAGATGGTTACATTGGTAATTTAATGTAGGCATAGTTATATGTGCCATGGTGAAAAACCTTGAGTTCAAAAAAACAAACAGGCGTAATGGAAAAAAAGTCCTATATACATTTGTGATAACATCTAACTATGGTATATTGATGGAAACCATGTTACTGTGGTAATTATACTTAAGGTTGGTTGTATGTGCTGCAGTGAAGGCCGTGTTGTGCAAAACCTTCATGTAAATCAGTATGCAAAGGTTGTGAACATCTGTGCCAGTTGATCCTTTTATTAAAAATAACAAAGTATCATAAACTTTTTGTATATTACCAGTCCTAAAGAGGTGGTTCACACAAAAATGAAAATTTACTCTATTTACTCAACCTCAAGTGGTTCCAAAATTTAATGAGTTTCATTTTTCTGTAAAAGGAGATATTTTGAAGAATGTTAGAAATTGTTACAGCCTTTTTCGAGAAAGCTTCTTTTGTGTTCAACAGAAAAAAAGAAACTCAAACCGGTTTGTGAAATCCTGAATAATAACAGAGTTTTCACCAAGATGTGTTAAATCATGAACATCATGAAAGATCAAAACTATTTGAATGTGCTGAGGTGAATTGTGTTGTTTTGTGTATATTCATCTCACTGGAAGGAACTGTTAAACCTAAGTTTATCTGAGCCTTTTTCTGTGACTGCTTTTTTTTAGAGACAAGCTCATGTTTTATTATGATGTCTGTTTTTCTTTGTCTTTGAATGTTGCATTTTTAAAGAGCTGTATTCTGTAACACTGAAAAAAGTGCCAGTATTCATTCTCAGTCATTTGTATCTGATATTTCCCAATACAGACCCTTTGATCATCCCTTTTCTTAATGCATTATAAAAGCTGAATAAAACCACTGCATAAAGATGAATTAAGGGAATGTAAATATGCATTTTAAGATGAAAAATATATGTGCCATCTTTGTTCACTTTTATTTTACAGTCAAACTATTATTTCCCATATAAGCGGCTGATATATTGTTGCTAATTGGTTGCATATTAAGACTACTAAAAACCTGAAAGAATATGTCCCAAATCACAATGGAAACCATTAAAATGTGATGCTTTTGGTGGTCAACAGTTGATAGTTTGTACTGGGATTTACTGTGAGGGTTTATATTAGTTTGTACTGGGATTTACTGTGAGGGTTTATATTGTTTTGGTGCAGCAAAACAACCAGTTTTGCAAGAATATGATTATCGTAGTTGATTTTTATTTTCAGACTCTGATGCTAGGGCGACACAGTGGCTCAGTGGTTAGCACTGTCGCCTAACAGCAATACCGCTGGTTTGAGTCTCAGCATTTCTGTGTGGAGTTTGCATGTGTTCCCCGTGTCAGTGTGGGTTTCCTCTGGGTGCTTCAGTTTCCCCCATAGTCCAAAGACATGCTTTAGTTTTATTGGGTGAGCTAAATTGGCTGTAGTGTATGGGTGTGAATGCAAGAGTGTATGGGTGTTCTCCAGTGTTGGGTTATGGCTGGTGTAAAAAAATGTGCTGGATAAGTTTTCGGTTCTTTCCACTGTAGCGACTCCTGATTAATAAGAGGATTAAGCCGAAAATAAAATGAATAAATGTGTGTGAATGAGTGTGTATGAATGTTTCTTAGTACTGGGTTGCAGCTGGAAAAGCATCTGCTGTGTAAAACATAAACTGGAGAAGTTGGTGGTTCATTCCACTGTGGCGACCCCTGATGAATAAAGGGACTAACTAAGCTGAAGGAAAATGACCGAATGAATTCGATGCTGATAGCTTTCTCTTGTTATTGTTTATTGATAAAAAAACATATTTTATTAGATAATTTAATTTACATTAAAGCTTGAGTAGTGAATTTAACACACCCTCAAACCTAGCAATAAACATGGACTTTTTAGCCTTTAAAACGAAACATGGTTGTTGTTAAACCATGCAACCACATATTTCGAGTAACAGTGGTGTTATACAAATGTCAATCAGTCTACCAGATGAACATGGTTATTGAACTTTTTATTAATTTATTCATTTTCTTTTCGGCTTAGTGCCTTTATCAATAAGGGGTCTCCACAGCGGAATGAACCGCCACTGCACATTTTTCAATACAATAAAACTTTATATAGATTTTTTTTTTCAAATAGATTATAAATAAAATAAAATAAAAAAATTAGTTGTCAGAATCAAAAATATCCTATAGAAAAAAGTGAAATTACATTAATAAAATCCCAAAGACAAAGTGGAAATTCACAATAAATTAATTTATAATGCCCAAAAGGATTTTAAAATCCTATAGGACAAAGTGAAAAACCAATAAGACAAATTCTGAATGTCTATTAGAATTTTAGGAATCCATTTAGGTCCTATAAGACAGGCATGTCCAAACTCAGTCCTGGAGGGCCGGTGTCCTGTAGAGTTTACAAATCCAATCAAACACACAGCTAATCAAGCTCTCACTAGGCTTACCAAACATCCTTGCTGGTGTGTTGAGGCAAGTTGTAGCTAAAATCTGCAGGATACTGGCCCTCCAGACCGAGTTTGGATACCCCTGGGCCCTGCTATAGGATAAACTGAAATTCCAATAGGATTTTTTGACAAGGGATTAAATTTTTTTTTTCCGACAGTTCATCCTCTAGAGGGCGACACATAGCCTACACAAGCCACAGCCGGTCTCCATTTTTCTGTGGTTATGCGGTGGTTGTTTGCTATAAAAAGTATAGATGTTCAACGCCATTTTAGTCTTTTCATTAACCTAACGTATTATCAGCTATAATTAATATTTGGACTTTTTTTGTTTAACAACGCTAAACTGTAACATGTAACGTACATGGTTTATTCCAGTCAAATGTGTATCTCATATCTCAGTAATCTAGAATGAGTGTGAGCACTATTATCAAGCTGCAGCCTAGTAATGCGATCTAACTAGGTTAAGATAATTAGCTTTATCAAAGTGGTCTGTGGCACTTCGGCCAACAGCCAGGAAGAAGTTGATTAAGCAGTAGAATGGTTAAATAATTGATATAGGAGAAAAAAAGAAGCAGCACAAAACATTTCAGCCTATTTATTTTCATCCTTTGAAATATTAATGATGCAGAGGTCCGCTGTGCTATTGTGGGCCCCCTTTTTTGCTCCTGATCAGGGATCAGTTTTCCAAACTCAAATAAGCTTATTTACTGTAGGACAAATGGACAATACTGATTTCAGATCAGCAAACATGTCATTAATAATCTTCAGTCTGCCGTCGAGACTCCATTAGAACAAGCTTTACTAGGTCATCCAGGACAGGACACAAAGGATAGAAAGCAAAGCACAAGACTGAAAATCAGGATCCAGGGAATATTACAACAGTGTACCCGTGGTGGCTGGATGTTAAAGGATGTTAAAGAAGGAAAGTGAGATAGAATTGGCACTGTTCTAGTTGTCACACTCCCTTGAGTTCATTTGACCCACTAAAGAAAGTGTAATTGATAAATTCTAAGCATTTAATTGCTTGAAACGTCATTTGATTGGGGACTGCATTTTTATAGCATGTCAGTTCTGGTGAAGTATGTGAACAGGCGGAGTGAGTATAGGTTTATAGCTAAGTTCTAACAATGAAACCATAAATACAAGGTGTACAGAGCTGTACTTGATCTAAACCAGTGCAACTGCCTATACATCATTTAATAGGCTACTAAACAATTGTGTCACACCATAAACATAACACAGTTCAATCTTTCCATTCAGACTATCAGGTGTCCCTAAGAGTAGCATGTCTGCATTCATAATTCATAAAACAGTATGCGAAGAAAGTACCCACAGCATTAAATAGATGTTTTAGTCTCCCATGATGCCACTGGAGAGGATTTGTGAATGGCATGTTGTAAGTCTAGATTCCTGCTATATATATAAAGCAGAACAGTCTGGTTCCAGCTGTAGAAGGAACCAGAAACAACGTCATGTTTTGCTTGTTGGCTCACAAAAGTGTATTGGAGTTTGTATGATTGCAGTTGAACCATCAAAGTCACATGGAATGTTTTAACAATGATTTTAGCTCCTTTTCTGTACCTCTGAATGTTTCAGGACTGTTGCTGACTATGGAGGAGGAGAGACCTCTCAGATTTTGTCTAAAATATCTTAAAAACTTTGTGTATACTTAAGATAAGTGGAGATTGGAATGACAAAGGAGAGTAATTAATAGCAGATTTAAATTGCTTGGGTGAATTAATTCTTTATTATCTACAATACACAGAGAGTCACAGAAAGCACAGAAGGAGATCTTAAAGGTGACCTATTGTGCAAAAGTTACTTTTGTACGGGATTTAAACACAGTTGTGTGACAACAATCTGAATAGAACCTGCTTCTAATGATAAAAATTTATTAATTTTATTATTTATAATCACACTTCATATAAAAACACTTGCAGAAACACTTTGACATTCTCCATTTGTACTTGTCATCAGAGGGAGAAAGCGATGAACCTCTCTCATGAGCATAGGATGTTAAGTCTTGTTTTTAAATCTACCACTATGCTGACACACAGGCATTTGTAGCTCCGCCCTCTTTTAAAC